CACGTAAAATAAGGCAAATTCAATTCAAATTCAATTCAATTCAAATAATTTTCGAAGTTAAAGTGAATTTGTCATCTGAGCCTTCACGTAAACGTCCGACCTAGAAGCACTTCCGTCATTAATCTCTCGAGGCACTCTCCTAGTGAGTATCTCATCTCCGTCTCGATCACATCTACGACTCCATCTGCCTTAGCGACCCTGTCCCTCGAATAACGAGAGCTCGGAACCCCCTCCTTCCGCAAGCATTCCGGTCTCAGATTGCTCAGCATCGACTTGAAAGAGCATCAGGGGCGCTGCTTTCGAACCAATAACACGCAAGAAATAAATTATATATAAAAAAATTTCCGTTCGAGTGGCGGCAGCAGTTGGTCCCCGCACGTCCTTTCTATCTTTCGATCAAATCAATGCGACATAGAAGCACTCTCCTCCGAGTTATTTTCAGTTACTCGCGGATCGCGCAGCGGCCTTTGCATCTCCATTTTTGTTGGGTTCGGTTTTTACTGCACGCATTTTGAAATCTTTCTTTTTCGGTGCAGGAAACATTTTGATCGGCGCGACACCGGTCGCATTGGGTGGGGTTGACACAAAAAACAAGAGGCGGCTGTTCATGGGTGACCTTTCCGAGAGCTTTTGTGCAGAAACCACCTCCTTTGTTGGATCCTTGCCTATCAGGGATGAGCCGCGTCTCGGTCAATTGTACTGACGTTTCGGCCAACTATGCTGTCGCCTTCTTTCAGAAGCCTATATGCTAGCTCGATAGCAGCATACATTGTCAAGTACCCAATTGACCCGAGCACGCGGCTCATCCCGGATAGCCCAAGAATGCATTGACTCCCGGCCGCGAAGCCCCTCGAATATAAAATCTGCCCATCAACCTTGAAAGCCAAAATACATGTCGTCGCGGTCGGCACCCTTGTTGCTGCTCGCCGAGGAATCCCCCGATGCCCCTAACGGTTCAATTTGCCAGCCTTGGAGCGTCACGAAATCAAGACTAAAAACGAATTCATACCGTCATGGATGAAAAAATCCATTTCCATAATTAATAAATCCAAGAAGGAAATCAGCCATCTGTCAGCGTACTTCGCAGGAAAAGGAAAAGTACCTAAGAAAGTGATAAAGGGTAAACGATCCATTGTCAGAAGAATGAAGTTGCGAATGAACCTGAAAGATATCGATACGAGGTTGAAAGATGAAGAGGAACGTCTGAAACAGAAAATGCATGCACACGGTGCGAGAATTCGGCAATTTGATGAAGCAGCAAAGAGACGCCAACAACAATCAGCCTTCGCTTTCGACCAAAAGAAATTGTATAGCCAGCTGCAGAATGGCAATTTCCGAGTTCCGAGTCCATGGTTTAGTATTGGACTGATATCTGGGCTATAACAAAGCAACATAATGAAGGAGCCTACTGGCTGCAGGAGGAAAAAGAAGCTTGTCGTAACATCGACGAAATGCCTCCCTGTGAAATTTCCCTTGCTGGTATCAAAACGGTAGTACAGAGAACACGGAATTGGAAGTCGCCAGGGCCGGATGGTATCCAAAATGTACGGTCATCAGATTGAATTTCAACGTACTAGAAGGAAATCTTAAATAAATACTTATTTGAATACTTAAAATCTTTACCGTTTTTAACCGTGGTAAGAGCACAAATATTTCATCTTTTGCGGTTCTTTCCTAGGGGACACTAATAGTCATATTCTTCTTTTGCTTTATTGTTTGATATTTAGTCCAAAAATCACTATGTTACTCCGAATCTACAACTGTTCCCAATATCAACCGATACTAAAATACCTTTTTTTTAACGGGATTATGGTCAGGCATGGCTGTAAGGGAATTACCGAGAAAGACGCGAAATGCCTTGAGATGTTTCATCGCGAAGTCAGGCCCAGACACACCAAGTTATAAAAATCGAAGTATAAAGTGAAAAGAAAAAAATGATGTATCATTCAAATCTGCCGCCTCGTTATTTGGATACATACGCACCTTCCCAGTATTGTAGCAGCGGCTGCAGGTTGCCGAAGTAGTGAAAGTGGCCGTGTGTGCACAGGGTTACTGCATCTCGGCCGCTGTAGTTCCGGCTCGCGGGAAACAAGTTCTTCAGCACCAAGAAGTAGTACCAATTTCCGACATTGGGTTGTGCGATAGACCGCATCAGCGTAGAATTTGAGTTTTGCAAAGTATCATTGTCTCTGCTATTCTGCATCTACGAAACACAAATGGCTATTGTCTGTATTCTTTCAGCAATTTCATACAATAGGACCAATAGTATAATGTACAAAGACCATCAATTATTTTAAAAAAATATTGGCTACATTATATGTAAAAATTTCTGACATTATTTACATAATAATAGCAAGTTACGTAGTAATAAAAATCACTTCATTTATATATTTTCTAGTGATATGCGTACATCATAGAAAAGAGAAAAGTACGTAAAGCTTCGGAAAATAACAATAATACACGTTTTGGGGTCCCCTGATATCGCAAAAGTGGATTTTTTCGAGACGTTGATCCATCGTTTTTTCGTGCGCCTGCCTATCTGTCTCTAATCGACCTATGTGCCTAAATTACTCTGGTGTTTGTGAAAATTGCAACACCCAGATAGATAGATTTATAGATAGTTTTATTAAAGTTTGCTTTGAGCTAATGCTCGGTGGCAAACATGATTACAATTAGAACTAGAACAATTTCAAAACTATTAAAACATTTACAATTAGAATTACAGGTTGATATCCTAGTTCTAAATAATTTCTAGTTATCTCTAAATTGACTTTTAGTTTATCTAACACTTCACTACATTACACTGCACCCCCCTTCACCACACTACACTACACTTCACTGTATAAGAGACATGGCCATAATAATAATAATAATAATTATTATTATTATTATTATAATTATTATTATTATTATTATTTTAAATGTCTCAGTATTATTAGTGATGATCTAGAAGGAATTAAGAATATTTTAAAATTTCACTAAATTAAAAGGAAGAACCTCTAGTGCCTTTGCAGGTAATTTGTTCCAATCCACTATAGAGCGAGTGACAAAAGAGAACTTGCCTATATCAGTTCTTTGTTTTCTACATCTTATTTTCCAAGGAGAAAGGTGCAAGAATTCTGCGAAGGACGGGTACAACTGCTTCCCTGGCGTGCACATTCGCCTGTCATGTCGCCCATCGAACATATCTGTGATATCATCGGTCGGCAACTTGTTTGTTCTGGTCCTCCTGAAGCTACTTAGCGGCCACGCATAGAAACCGCGTGGTGTGTTTCTCAGCAGCATATCCAGGATCTCTTTGATTCCGTGCCCCGACGCGTCAAGGCTCGGAATGCAGCGTGAAGCACACCCTACCAAATACTCAAAGTCAAAATGTAGTCATTCTAATCAAATATATGTATTGTGATGTTCCTTATCCGTGGAATAAATTTCATTGTAATAGTATGCCTCCTTCTTGGCGATGCAATTTTCACAAACAGCAGTGTATTTGTAGGATTTTCCCCCCAAAATGAATATTCCACAGTAGATCTCATCCACTCAAAGTCCTACGAGTTTGAAAATAATTCTTTAAATGTTAAGGGTACTTTACGTGCAGCCCTTAGGGCATTTTCAAAGTTTTCTCAAAAATGACTCCAATTTTTTAAATTAAACTTCTTTTTAGAAGAGAGTAAAATATGGATCTTACATTTCTAAAAAATATTGCGAAAAAAAAAAATTTTCTCTTTCAACTCTCAATTTTCAAAAATTCCAAAAAAATGCGGCAAAATTTTTTGGCGTCATCCTTAAAGTACAATATTGAAGATTGAGAGTTTCTCTTCAAATGAAATTTGTTCTCAATTAATTATTTATTAAATACCATTCACATTATTTTTAAATGTTAGCAGGATCCGCATGGTCGACTACAACTCTCAACCAGAAATCGCGCCCTTCTATACAGACGCGATTCTCCCCTGCCGGGAGTTAACAGTACCAGTAAGGCGAGGGAAGATCCTTGTTCATCATCACATTCACCTCAGCCAGATTCACTAGCTGCGCCGCCGTCAGCGCCACCATCGCCGCCAGCGCCAGCAACGCCCGCATCACCGCCGTCAGCCTAGTGCGCACGCCCGTCTCTTCCTTCACTGAACGAGAGCGGGAAGCGAAACACACCGCAGAGAAAACTGAAAATACAGTTGGGTAGGCAAATTACTATTTTACGCGTTTCACGTGGACACTCGAAATTAATTACGATTCTTAACGATTTTAGAACAGAATAAAGAATATTTAGATGCTTACTGCTACTTAGCTGTACCTATTAGTATTTCTGGTCGGAGCATTTTCCAAATACAATTACTAAAAATCCACAAAAAGATTAAACAACCATTATAATAATTACATTTCTGATTAATAAGAAACTAATTTTCCAGAATTTGTGTTCCACTCTGCTGCTCCACTCCACCTGCTATTACTGGCAAAACTATTATTATTATTATTATTATTATTATTATTATTATTATTATTATTATTAATAATAATTAATAATTTGTAAAATTATTAGATCTGTACATGTATGAACATAGATATTACAGTGACCTATAGCAGCAAAACGTACCATCACATAGCATAAACACGTTTTATATAAACACAAGTCAAGAATTACGCTGAAACACACATACTCGCCCCCACACACACACGCATACGCGCAAGCGCACGCGCGCGCACAAACACACGCACACGCACATGCACATGCACACGCACACACACACACACACACACACACACACACACACACACATACACTCACACAGGTAAAACTCCGATTCGCACAAGGTTAAGATAACTGGTTAAAAAACATTTATTCAACAGGTGAACAAAAACGTCTTGCTCTTTACAATAATGGTTGAAAAACTCTCCGGTACAATCCTCTATGCATCCGAAACTACAGCCTTACACAATTACGTTACCCACATATTTTCTCTCTCACACCTCTCTCTAGTACGCCTCCGATTACTCTCCTTCCATGTAAACGATCCCCAACGAACTTCTTGCCAACCACTCTTATGATACAAGCAACCATTGCTAGTAAAACATGATACCGGAGAAAACAAATCATTGTAACTCCGGAAAAATCTACACACAATCATTGAATTTTTACTTTCTCGCTACCGCTGTCGCGGTAGAGACAGTTATATAATGCTGCGCGAAAAAAAATGCGAATTTTCGGCAGAAAAACTCTTATTACATGGCCCTTGCAACGAAGAAAAGGGTACATTCAGGTGAAAAATTTAGGGGGAAAATCTCTAACACGAAATGTAGCCAGAAAACATGTTTTGTTGGTTCTTGATTTCGAAAAATTGATAAGCGGCAAAACATATCCGTCCGTCCGTGTCTGTGAACAACACAAGCGGCTAAACCGTTCAACCGATTTTCTGCAAAATTTATGTTCACCTATCGATCTAACTGATATCGCGGCCCCTTTAATTTTGGAGAGTTCTTTACATGAAGCTCCTGGAATATTTTCGAAATTTTCAAAAACAATTGCTCCTACGTGTTTGCTTAAAATTTGTTATTGGATAGTGTGAAGGGCGTTTAAGAGAATGAGTAATGTCTCATATTTGTTGAGAACCTTAATGAAATTTTTTCATTAAAAGTAGATCTTTAAATAAGGTCATGTTGAATCTTTTTGAAAATATGAGTATTTTTTTGTGAAATTTGGTGACAAACATAGTCACCCGCTCAAAATTTACAGCCCTTTGTGAACATAATTCCAGGCAGTCCGATGTTTCGTAAGTTAGAATTTATATATTATTTTATATTTTTTGTTCGATTCTTACATTCTAGCTTCTGTTACACACTTACAAATTAATCTTTTACAAATTATTTGAAATATAAGAAATAAAAATTGCTACCTTTCAGGGAATATTAAATTGGAATGCAACAATGACTCGGGAGCTAATTTCTGTTTATTACGTCTTAGTGTTGGGACATGATTATGAAAAACAGTTACAATTGTCCAAATTGTCCGAATCGAAAGCACGTGCTGTATTTGCCCCACTAGTTACTATAGTACATAGAAGAACAATATTGGAGTCATCTCAATACGATCTTCAATTTTCGATCGCATAATTCTTCGATCGTTATTCTTTTGAGATGTAACATTAAACACACGTCAGTATTAAGGCCAATTAGAGCCGTTACAAAGTTAGTTATGATTGATGAAGCCGAAGGGGAGGTACAAGAAAACTTGTACACGAAAATAGGGATGTCTGGATGGATGGATGGTTGGAAGCATGTCACGTATAGCAGTTCTGCTTTGAAGAGCGCTTTAATAACACGTTTTAGCTGAAACTTGGTAGAGGTGGTAAACAGGGTAAGATCTAGTTGTATCGTTCCGACTATCACTTGTGTAAGATATAGTTTTGGGGACACTTAACATGAAGCCCATTTCAAAAATTCTACAAATTATTTTGAATGGAAGGCCCTATTCTGAATTAAAAATAAGGACTCAAGTGAAAAACCTTCGTAAGAAAATATGAGTGGTGCAACAAATGGTACAGACTTTCCCGTATTAGTTTTCTATTTCCTTTGGTTTCGTCTAACCATACGACTTGCCACATACTCACATACTCTTGCTAACTGCCACCTATCGCCGCCCAAAGTACATTTTTTTTTAATTTTCTTTTTAATTATTCGACTTTCTAATAGTAGAACGGAAATACTATTTTAAGAATATAAAAAAACAGTAAAACCTCGTCATAAATGGCATTTTTTTTTAAAAAAAATTTGAAGCGGTTTTTAAGAAAATGACGTTTAAGCCCTACTGCAAATTCGAAATTTAAAGATCTTTTTCACAGAAAATATTTGAGATTTCGGAAAACTTAATTAAACGCATTTTAACTCACATATGCAATAGTGTTTACAAATCGATGGAAATGTGCATATTAATGACGTGAGAGATCTTTCAAATAACTCACATTTGTATCATTTTTGAAAAAGCAAAAAAAGTCCCCGAAACGAACTTAACATCATATTAACGAGTACAATTAGCACTATCCATTCGAAAAGTTTGAAGAAATAAATTGGAGCCTATTTTGAGAAAATGGTGTTTGAGCATTTCTGAAAATACGGAATTTTGAGCTAGTTTTCACAGAAAAAGCTTGAGTTGTTGAGAAACTTTATCTGACATTATTCAAAGCATATGTACTCATAAATATAATAATGAGAAAAAATTGCCGATAATATAAATATATACGACGTTAGAGACATCTCAAAAAATACATATTTGTAATTTTAAAAAAAGGGATAGAGCAATATGGCGTTTCTCATCTAATAAAGTACATTTAGCACTATCCCTACCAAAAATTTAATTTTAAACAAAATTTAAAAATTTAAAACAAAAATTTGGAGTCGTTTTTGAGAAAAATTTTGTTTATGTAATTTTTTAAAAACAAACGTGGCTTTAATGAAAGAACTCACTATGAACAATAAATCTTATATGAAGGAAACACCTGTAACTTCAATTTTGTAGTTCTTGAAAGACGCGGAAAAAATTCAGACTTTTGCAATTTTCGAAAATTTAGAGACAACCGTAAAAATGTGCTCTACGCCACCTTTAAAAAATTTACTTGTTTCTGTATTTTGACAAGAAATATAAGAATAATTAGGCAAGCAATAATTTTATTAAGCTGAGCATCTATACATTAATAAATAGGTTAAGTTTAGTTCAGTATTACAAAACGCGCGGGATAATGCTCAACGTTATTTGAATATCCCTTATTAATAAATCCTTTCAATTATATTTTGCTTTGATACGTTATCAACTTACCACCTTACTAACAAACGTTGAGTATAAGTTACTTCTTGAGTAAGCTTGAATTAACCAAACTCTTTAACTCATAAACTTGAGTAACGAAAATATACAGCAAGCTGAAAGTAAGAGCTGCGTAGTTACCATGGCAACCGCTACTCACAGTCGACCCTTGTTTAAGCTTTGAGCAAGACAACTACAACTACAGGTATTGTACTTAGTCTTGCTTTGAGTAAGTGGGAAGTATTATCCGCGCACGTTTTCATGAGCCCTCAGTTCGCTGTATGCGAGAGGAGTGGGGGAGTTTATTATTTTGTCGAGAGGACTGTACTATATCTCTCTTCGACGTGCTTACCGTTCGCAGACACACGTGGTCGTGCGACGATGAACGCTGTGTGTGTGTCTCGTATGTTGTGAATTCAAGACGGAATACTCCGAACGTAAAAGAAGCGAAAATTGGACGAGTGAAGAGAAGGTACGTAGATCTTATTGTACAAATCATTTTTATAAATGCTGTATTTTTTATTAACGAGAACCGATTTTGTGGTCCATACGTATTTAACATGTCTGATTCTGCTCCAGAAGCTGCAATTGGAACTAGTTTCCCAGTTCCTTCGTATATTAAGTAGAAAGGAAAATTCCACATCTGTTAATAAAGCGAAGGCTCAAGCGTGGAAAGATCTAACCAATAAGTACGTTAAAGAAGTAAGTGTTGGTGTGTGTTCGCTTCGATGACTTTTGTACTCGTTCATAATTTTTATATTTTCCATTTGTTCAGATTCAATGCACCTAACAACAGGGCAAGAGATCTGAAATGAATTCAGATCCAGTCGAAGGCCATCAAAAGCATATCCAAGAAAGAAATCGGTGACAATAGAAGGGGCACCAGGAAAACCGGTGGTGGCCCAATCCGTCCCAACAAGCGTTGGAAATTCAGTACTTGCTACCACTGGAATTTGCTGAAGGCAGTAATGATTTCGATTGCAACGTCAGTATCAACCTTTCTGTGATAACCAAGTCAAACATGTATTAAAAAAGTAATTCAGAAAAAGAATCATCTCCTGTTTTCACAGGCGGATCCTGATAATGTAGAACACCTATTGGATGATGGAAACTTGTATAACGTGGTAAATTAGTTATTATTGGTTTTATAACGAGAGAAATGTATATTGTTATAGACTGAACTGCTAGAACAGTGCAAGACCCAGTGAATTCAAAGTAGCTGCAGGATTAATGTCCAATATGTGAATTCTAACCAAAATTCTGAAGTTTTGGCTACTGATTGTTCGTAGTTAATCAAATTTTGATGCTGATTATAAATTAATTCTAAGTATTCTTGCTCACCATATTGCCATTAATTTTCTTGTTCAGTATATTTTCTAAAGTAGAAATTTCTTAAATACACAAATGAATAAATCGCTTCAGTTTGATGCATCAAATATTATATAACATTTAACAATATATTAAAATATTTGTACACCTGTGTGCGATTGTAAGTGCCCTTGTAAGGCAGCAGTAAAAATATAAATGTGAAATGCTGTCATTTTCAGTTGTTGACTACACAGAAATACACGGAATCGAATATTGTTATTCTAAAGCTTGTGTCATGACTTTTTTCTAAATATTTTTCCAGAATCTCGAACCTATTCCACTGAGCCTTGAAGGTCTGTGCACGCCAATATCAAATGTCAGAAAGATGAGGGAAGTACTAAGAAAGTGTAATGATTTCTTAATTATATTACCATCTAATTGCTATTATATGCATTACAGTAATAAGCAACTCTGCATTATCATTTAGTGTTATTCAAAAGCTTGCGGTTCTTTTTGCAGAGCATAAACAGGCATAAGCATTTTCGAAGATTAACAGAAAGTATTACCTCAGAGGTGTGAAACGGAATCATTTAAATAATAGAACGAGAAATTTGTATTGTATCAACATTTACAATATTAATTAATTTGCATTCTTACAGCAATTTGACCTAAGGAAGGCGACCTTTCAGGTGCAGAAAGACTACAGGCGGAAGAAAGATAACAGGCTGGCAGAGTTGCCAGAAAACTGCAGTTCATAGATAAACAGTTCAAAAACATGCGTGAGCAACACAAAGTTGTCATGCAACATAAGGAAATATTGTTGAGGTTATTGAAGGAAGCAGCGAATAAAAAAATAAACAATTTTCAGAAGTTTTTATTCAGTAGTACTTAATTTAATCATTTTGACTGGTTTGAAGTTTTTTTACGAGAGAAGCTGTGAAAATCTTCAAAAAGACACTGAGAAGGGTCCGCACTCCACAGCAGTGTGAGTTTATTACTCACTAAAAACACAAATCCTGTGCATATAGCCATACTTTGCTTCACCTGATCAGATGGCACAGCAAAGATACAGTTAGGCAGACATTCATTTAAATATTATTAAATAAATACAGCACGCACAGCAGCTCACTGTGGATTGCTTTGTTGAAAAACCAAAGGCTGTAACTTATTTTCCTCTTCAATTTCCAGTTCTATAGGAAATTCTCTTTCCTACAACTCAATGGTTATATTATGTAACAGTCAGGGCTATAATGGTCAAATTTGTTTGCTACAGAGATGTTCTAAATTGGAAGGAAAAACCTCTGTCTTTATTTTTGTAGTTGTAGAAAGCCACCGAGAAAAAAAAGTTAACTGTGACAATCGGACCTATGCCGCTTTTATAAGTGTATATATGTTGTTGACACATTGCGGGCCAAATTACTTCGAATTTGGCGCCTCGTCTTTTTTAACAGGGCGTTTGATGTTCATTGAAGGCGTTTCGAAGGAAAAGATTATACATTTTAAACTAGGCGCCTCCGAGATCCGCCTCCTTAATTTTCTCCAAAAAGCCGCGCGAATTTCTTCTCTCTCTCTAGCCGACCAAACATTCATTTATTCCATGCAAAGCCCTGGAGTCGATGATTCAAACTTCTTTTGTTATTAGTTCGGAAAGCGTAAACCGGAAATATCGCCCAGTCTCCTTGGATGGCTAAAAATTCTCCACTAAAAATTGCCATTGCGAAATGATTTTCTATCGCAGCGCCGGCTCGCCTTGCTACGACAATTTAAAATGCGGAAAGCTGAGTAAAAGCATTTTGACATCTCAAGGTTACCCAGAGTATAACCAGGCACTGGAGTGTATAGAAACAC